TTTTTTTTTTTTTTTTTTTTTTTTGAGACATGATCTTGTTAAGTTGCTAAGTTGTCCAGACTGGGCTCAAACTTGTCCTTAGGCCTCAGCCTCCCAGAGTGCTGGGGTTTACTGGCATGTGCCACCACATTCAGCCTAAATAACCTTTTAACATTAGGCCCCCCGATCTGAGGGAGATATGTTCCAGGACCCCTGGTAGGTGTCTGAAACCAGGGGTACTACTGAACCTCTAGATATGTCATTTTTCTTGTACTTACACACATATGGTAAAGAGTAATTTATAAAGTAGGCATATAGAGGTATTAGGCACATTGAAGTAAAAACTAGTAATAGATCTATGAAGCAATATACTGTGAAAAAGTTATAAGAATGTATGCAGTCTTTATCAAAATACTATATTATGGTCTACTCACCTTTTTGTTGTTGACCTCAAGTAATTGAAACTGGGGAAAGTGAATTTAAAAGTTCGGACCAGTTTATTATAATGAAATATACATAACATAGAAAGAAAGGTTTTTGGTATTTTTTTAAATTTAAATGTGCACATTCTTCTGGTACAGTACTTTGTTATTAAAGTAAACTCTTTGTGATGCTGTAGTGTGTTCCATACCCACCGGTGTGCCTTTCCCCACTGCTGACAGGATAAGCACGCGCTGCTGGACGTGACTCCGAAGGCTGTGGACCTGTTGAATTACACCCAGTGGTTCCCAATTGTAATATTTTTCAACCCAGACTCTAGACAGGGTGTTAAAATCATGAGACAGAGGTTGAATCCGTCGTCCAACAAAAGTTCTCGAAAGTTATACGATCAAGCCAACAAACTCAAGAAAACCTGCACACATCTCTTTACAGGTATGTATCTGAAATTTTAAGTGCAGCCTTTGTTGAAAAGTGGCAAATAGAGAAGTGAAAAATGCAAATACAAGAGGTAATCTGAATGGAAAATGAGAGCTGCCCCTCCTTGAAAAGTCCTTCATCCTGGGGCTGGAGAGATGGCTCAGTGGAATAAGCACTTCCCTGGCAAGTGCAAGGGCCTGAGTTCAATCCCCGGTTCTGCAGAAAAAAAAGAAAAGAAAAAAGAAAAAAGAAAAGTCCTTAATCCTGTGAGATAGTTTCTGAGATCTTTGGCGTTTTCATAGTGAGCTTTGTAGGTTTGACTAAAAATGACATTGGTCACTTCGATGAGACTCACACTTGTGTGCGAGATGCAAGGCTGGTGACCCAGCCGGCTTCTCGGCGTGTGGCCCACTTTTCAGCGCAGATCGTGTGTCCGTGTTTCCTTCTTCCCTTCTGTGTGTGTAACTTCAAGCAATAGGAGCTCGTTTTAATTATTTTTACGTGTCCAAATAAAAACTTGAACACTCTAGATACTGAATCATACAAGGATTGATTACCTCTGCCTTTTTGGTGTGATAATATGGTGATTTAAAAATACAAATAACTTGCTTTTTAGAGATGGATTCTAAGTAAAATATTTATAGGAGACCTAATAGGATATCTAGAATTTGCCTAAGTAATCTACAGTGAGGGTAGAAGATGAATCTAGGTAATTCAAGACTGCCAGGAATTGTTGCTGAAGCAAGTTGTTGTGTACTTGGAGTTCATTAAATTAAATTATGTAAAAAAAATTCTATATTTTTTAAATCTCTTAAGCAATAGTAGCTGTTATAACAGTAAAGTGATCTAAAAGTATGACAAATTTTAGTAAGAGAATATATGTGCTATCTATAAAAATGAGTTCTGTGAATACAATACAATGAGTTTAAAAGGAGACATACATATTTTGGTAACACAATACTTTGTGGGTGCAACGTAAGGACGCTGCCTGGGTCTGTCCTCTTCAGGATAATGATGGCTCCTTTGAGTGCTGGGCCGCCAGCCTCAGCCTTTGCCACTTTTGGCCTATCTCTGATACTGGAGAGGAAGGTGAGGGTGTGTGCGCGTGTGTGTGTATCTGTGAGAGTTGTGTTATGGGCACCCAGATTTTCTTGTTGAAGAGAGATGCTCTGCTCGCCATTATGGCAAAATGCCATAACTGGGGGAGAGCTTCCCTAAATGCCAAGAGAAAGTCAGTCCTTGTGGCCTAGATTTCTGTGGATGTCCTCTAGAGAGCTCGTGCTTTTGTTATATTCATGTGCATCTTTTCTGTCATTTTGCTACTTGTGGTTTCCATCCAGAATGCCCCTGCAAAGTCTCTTGGGCTCAGAGGTGGGGATTCAGAAGGGTGATAGGGTCACAGGAACACCATATGATGGAAATCAATCTGGTGGCCACAGTGTAACGCTTGAACTGAGTTACTCTCTGCACTAAGCAGTCGTCTGTGTAGGTCGTTTTATGTGTGCAAGGTAATCGTTCAGACTGTGGATCCTTGGCAATCCTTAGGGCCACTCGATACTTCTGTCCCAATTTCTCAGTTTCCACCATTACATAATCAATTATACAAGGAATATACTTGGCCTATAGACAGTCTGTCACCGATCGTACCAAGTCCAATTTGGCTTTGATGGAAAAGTTGATAAAGTTGGTATCAGCCAAGATATGATAAGGTGGGCCCAGCTTTGTATTATACTGGAAGAATAAGCAGGAAGGAGGTTGGGGGAACTTCCCTTTCCTTTAGAGCACTGGGATCTTTTCTTTCTTTTTAGGTTTTAATCTATCCTTTTCTTTGAGTCTGTCATCTCTGACACTAAGCATTCGCTTCGTGGTCACATACTTTTTTGCTTTCTTTGGTTTCCCCATGTGCATGCCTCTGTCCTGCTTCTTCCAGAATCACCCTTTTGAGCGCAGAACTTTGGCCCACACTGCTTTCTTAAATGGTCCTTGTGACTTTAAATTTTCTTTGTGATGAACACAGGCTGAACTTATACCAGACAGGCCCAATAGAAAGTATTCAGAGGCCACTTCACATTCTTCACTTTGTCTCTGGGATATACAACCTCATTTTCGCATTCAAGTACGTGGCACCATGTTCTACCATGAGCACAATAATCTTTGCGGAGTACCAGTAGAAGGACACAAAAATCCTTGCCATGGCATCTAGGTTAATTTCTCTTGGGTTGGCCAACATATTACTTTATTCTAGCACTATAAATAATTAATAGCCAGGAAATTGTAAGCGCGTTCAAGATTTTCCAAGGTCAGTGTTAGAACTTCTTAAATGGAAGAAAACTATATGCTACCTTAAAATCTGAAGCATAGTTGCCTCTAAGTTTGATTAATGATTCTTTGGGGCTTGAGAAATGAGATACCAGCTAATAAAAAGTCACAATGATACAATTTTTAAAAATCTTATTTACATTCACTCTGATATTTTAGACTCAATTTAAATTATTATTTTAGGCTAGTTTGCTTATCTGGTTTTTATTCCCATTGAGTCCATAATATGGATTGCCAAAGAGTAGCTCTTTCTGTTGTACGTTGTTGGTGTTTTATCCCCATGTTCCAAATTTGTGTCTTGAGGCAAGCTGTATGGTGTGGTGGCTAAGAAAAGAGACTGAACCCAAACTTCTGAGCTTGAGCTCCGGCTTCTTTCTCTGCATGGCATAAGACCATGGGCTGGATAAGCTCACAGCTGTGCCTTGGTTTCTCCTCTTACGATGGCTGTGATAGCAGCACCCACCTTGCAGAGTCCGTGTAAGTTTGAAGTACACTGATCCAAAGTGCCGGGAACAGTACCTGGTTGGGTCAAAGCAAGGGCTACTGTGGAAGATGCGTTTTGGAAAAAATTTTCTTTGAATACATGCCAGTTAAGTTAATCTGCACATTCCAAAATGTGTAAGACTATCCAAGATTTCAAACATTGAAATATTTAATTTCATGAAATATATATATGAAATAGCTTTATGAGAGATAGATAATTGTACAGTAGTTTTTTTCTTATGTCCTACATATCTACATAGTCTTTATTTTTTTTATTTTTATTTTTTATTTTTTGGGCAGAACCAGGGATTGAACTCGGGTCCTTGCGCTTGCCAGGGAAGCGCTTAATCCACTGAAACATCTTCCCGGCCCCTACATAGTCTTTAAAATATGGTACTTTTATTTTATTTTTATTTTTGGGTTTTTTTTTTTTTTTGGTTTTGGTTTTTTTTCTCCATAATTTTATTGATAAATAAATAGCAATGAGACAGTTGCAAATCAAATCAGTAGGACAGTTTCAATAATTAACACACTGCATACATTCTTCCTAGTGGTCAATTACTGTACAAGATGTGGACTTGATACCCTATTTATAAACACCATTGGAACAAATCATTCTATTCATTAAGAGACTGTAACTATATATCTATCCAAACCACTTTGAATACACAGATACAATTGTCTGTTTACCCTTTTTTTTGTTAAGTTCCGTTATTTGAATATTATAGATGTGTAAACTCAGCAAAATATTCTAAAAGAGTCCAGTAGCCCATAATAGTATTGGGTCTTCCGCTTGACTGGCAATGTCAGAAATTGTTGACCTGAGTCCCCTACAGCTCAACATAACAGCATGGCTTTACTTCTTATATTTTGTTTTTATACTTTTCTGCTGGATGGTTAAGACTAAGGTAAAGCAGGACCTATGCAACAAGAGTTGTAGCTTTTGGGTCTGATAAGGTCAGTGAAATCCCCTCAGGATTTATCCCAAGATCCTGTACCTCAGATTGTAGAACCTTTGTCAGTGGTTGCTTTTATTTTAAATGTGTTGTGTTTGCTCCTGAAAACATGCTGTTTTATTTTATTTTTACACTGGATTAAGGACAATTTATTGTTTTTATGTGCAGAAAACTCAAGAGTACGCTTAACCCAGTTTGATGGCAAGGTCTTTAGCCTTTGCTTTCTCCAGCTTGGCAATATTAGCCACAGCTTTTGGACCTCAAATGTTGCCTTTCCAGGGAGGTATCTCATTGTATCTGTCATTGTAGTTGGTCCCAGATGGCCTCCACCTGCTTAGCCATCGCACCTTTGTCTTCCGAGTTGACTTGCATGAAAGCGACAGTGGTATAGTCTTCCTGTGGACCAGACACCCCATCCTGGCCTTCCCCTTGATGATGCAGTAAGGGATCCCCATCTTGCAACACAGGGCAAGCAGGAACATGACTAGCTCAATGGGGTCCATGTCATGTGCAGTCACCACAAGCTAAGCCTTCTTGTTCTCCACCAGAGTGGTGGCAGTATTGACACCTGCTCTGAGGACCGGTGGCCTCTTAGTGGGGACATCCCCTTTGCCAGCAACTTTCTTCTCTGCCCAGGCCAACAGCCTCTGCTTCTTCTCTTGCTTGATCTCTGGTCTGTACCTGTGGGTGAGCTTAAGCAGCTGGGTAGCTGTTTGGTGGTCCAAGGCCTTGGTGAACTGGTTAATCACAGGGGGCACCTTCAGCCACTTGTACAGAATGGCCCCCTGTCGCTGCAGCCAGATGTAGTGGGGCCATTTGACAAAGCGGGTGAGGTCTCTCTTGGGCTGGATGTCCTGTCCAATGCCAAAATTTTTTGGCCTCTTCTCATACATGGAATATACCACCTTCTTGGCCTCCTATTTCTTCACAACAGCGTGGGCCAGGGCCATCTTCTTGCCCTTGGCCTTCTTGCCTTTTGGCATCTTGGCCGGCTGACAGAAAGAGCAAACGTGCTCTTTTAAAAATAAAGTTTTGGGGCCTGGGGAGATAGTTCAGTGGATTAAATGCTTGCCTGGCATGTGCAAGGGCCTGAATTCAATCCTTGATTCCACCAAAAAAAAAGGTAAAGTTTTTGAAGGTAACTTTTCTGAAAAATTGATATTCTGAAAATAATCCTGTTTTTTGCTGTCATGTCTGTCCATAATGTGAGCTACAATAGCAAGATGTTTAGTTACATTCAGCTAAAAGGACTTATTACTAATTCACAAGTGACAAAAAATATAGTGAACCCTTGATTTACAAACTCAGCTCATTCCCAAGGGCTGGTCGTAGCTCAGGCCATCAGTTGCAGGCTCAGGCTGTTCTCACAGCCTTCCAGGTCTCTGTCCTCTACACAGGCATATCTCAGTGTCCTTAGGCACTGGCCCAGGATTTCTCAATTAACCCCATAAAGAAAAGGATGTTGTAATGTTCCTTTTAGATCCCTTACAGGATTGCATCTTTATCTCTATCTAGAAGCACAAGCTGCCGGCGTTCCAGTCATAACCCAAGACTTTGGTCATAAGTTAAAACTAAAATTTGGGTCAAACAATTGAAGTTGTTTGTATGTCAGACCAGTCCCTCACTCGAGGGTCCACTGCATGTTATGTCAAGTAGCTTCCTGAATAAATATTACTCTAGAAACTGACGCAAAGCTTTTTGTTTACATTTCTATAGCTACAATCAACCTAAATTCAGCCAACGATAGCTGGTTTGGCAGCTTGAAAGACACCATTCAAAATCAGCAAGGGCAAGCGGTGTGGGTGTCCGAAGGAAAGGTATGTGGCCTAGATAGGCGGCTGTGAGGTGAGAGTCCGTGTGCTGAATCTTTTCTCAAGAGCAGTGAATGTAGGAAGTGTGATATTGATATACGTATTCATCAAGCCTGAAATTTTAGACATTTTCTAACAAATAATAAAATGATGCTTTCAAAAAAAAAAGGCAGCAGTGTGTGATGAATGCAATCCTACATTCACTTCCCTTTTACTTTAACGTAGTAACTAGTACCGTATTCCAAGTACACTAATCAGAGCTTACAAGATCTTGTGCTGAGCTCCACAGCTTACTAAGACATGGTGGACTTATGAGTGGAGATGAGAGGCCAAGTTGAGGACCATGGAGAATACAGTTAATACAAACAAGAAGAGCCAGTGGAATCGGAGCTATTTGCTTAGAAAATTGTACTAGGCGTTTCATTAGGTGACATGTGAGCATCTACGACTCTAAAGTTGGAGGAAAGCATCTCATTTATAGTGACAGCTTACACCCTGCCCTGCTACCCGCTGTCCTGTGCTCCAGCCGAGTTGAGGTAGTCCGTGAGCAGAATCGTGATGAGTTTGTTACACAATTGATAAAGTCTTGCTTTCTGGGAACTAGCCCAGGAGTCTAGCCCTCACCAAGTGCTGACAAGTTTGGAAGGCTTAGTGCTAGCTTCCCTTAGTGCTAGCCAATCAGGGCATAGCTTCTGTGCTCAAGGATCCGAGAGTCCTGTAGATGAATGGACAAGTGCATTGCACAAGGCAGTGTGTGCTTATTCTTAGGAGGTAGATACTGAGAGAAAAGGCTGGAGGAGAGTTGGATTACGGAAGAAAAGTGCCACAGCTAGTGAAAGTGTGAATCAGTTGTAGAACATAGAGTAGATGGTAACAGTGGTGGACTAGAGAGTCCCTAATTTGGATCCCTCCACAAAAATCAGTGTACTGTCTGCAGTGGGTCAAAGCCAAAGGAAATTAAAGACATCTTCCCTGTCTGGAACATGTCAAGGCTTCAGCCACTTGGCTGAGCCCTGTGGGAGTTTTTTTTTGAGTCCCAGCTCCTAGGGGCCATGACAGACCCCACTGACCGTCCAAAACAAATTCCTCTAGATTGAAGGGATGGATGATGACCCTGACGACCACATGTCCTACTTAACCGCCTTGGGCGCAGACTATCTGAGTTGCGACAGCCGCCTCATCAGTGACTTTGAAGACACCGACGGCGAAGGAGGTGCCTACACTGACAATGAGCTGGATGAGCCGGCTGAGGAGCCGCTGGTGTCGTCCATCACCCGTTCCTCGGAGCCGGTGCAGCATGAGGAGGTGAGGGGAGGCATGGCGTAGGCTGTGAGGCCAGGGCAGGAGAAGGAGATCCTGGTGTTACACTCAATTCTTCTGGACAGATAGTAACTCAAGGTGCTGTAGAGGGATTTCTAAGGGTTGGAGCAGATGACAGCCAGGGAACCTTCACTCTGAGTCAGAGCCTATGTGGTTGTAGCAGCAACCCATGGGAAAGTGGGGCCAGAGAGAGGCCAAGTGACCAGCATTCCCCTGCCCTCAGGCATGATGGGTAAACACATTGGCTATTAATGTCAGCCATCCAAATTACAAATGGAACATTGAGTTTTAAATATATGACATGGTTGTATTTACTTGTAACCTTTGATTAGGTCTCTGTCTGTACTCGTAGGAGTCCTTGCTTCTTCACTCTACCTTTAACCTTCTAATCTTGCTGAAGCTCCTGAGTGTTTCCCCATCAGTTTCCTTCTCTCTCGTGTTTCGATTTGGTGATTGATTCTATGATCAATTATGCATCCAATCCCATGTACTGTGCATCCGCTAACCCGTCAATCAGTAGTTTATGTGGTCCTGGAAGTTACATTGATAGTCAGTGATTCGTCGGTTGCACATTGGAGAACATTGGAAAAATGAACTTTGTAGATTGTCCAAATTTATGTGGATAATTATTGCTGTGGACTTCCTGTTAGCAGTTTAATGAAGTGAATATTTTTCTTTGATGAAGTATAAATACCAAAATCAAAAAGGTGGAGGAGGGAAACCCCCCCCCCAGGAAAATAATTACTATATACTGCTAGACACAAATGAACTAACCCCTAAATGTCCACAGAGATAGATGCTTAGAAATTTTCATGTTTCTTAATGGCAAAGAAAATTTAGACTCTAGAAGGGTTTTTGTTCTGTTTTTAAGTTGAACCGTAAAGGTAGACCCTGCTGTATTAGAGACGTCTGGTTCTAGAAGACATGTGCTAAGCACGCACGAGTGCAGGGGTGCTGCTGTCCGCCTTTGTGGTGAAGGCGCCCTAACTTGGCACCCCCAGTCTGGACTCTTAACGAGCTTGCGGAACTCCGGCAAGGCAGACGAGTGATCTCTTCTCTGCTCAGATTTCTTGTTGTAAATGAACCTTTATGTTTTGTAGAGCATAAGGAAACTCAGCCCAGAGCCACCAGCTCAGATGAGGAGGGCTGCTAGCAGAGATCAACTTAGGGACAGTAGCCCACCCCCAGCATTCAAGCCAGAGCCACCCAAGGTATGTAGTCCGGAGGCTTCAGGATGGGCAAGAGGAGGACACAGGTGACTTGAGCCCCTGGGTCTCCCAGAGGACCAAGGACAGTGGTAATGGATTATGGTTTGGGCTCATGGTGTTCTCTCTTGGGAACTTGTCTTTTGAGCCTTGGGTGAACCCAAGAATTACAGAGAGGCAGAAAGATAAAGGCAGTAGAAGGAGAGTGCCTAATTTTAGGACTCTTAGTGTTCATTTTATTCACTTTTCTTCTATAGAACATTTGACAAATGCTGCATGCCCAGAATCACCAATCTCAGAATCGGTTTTTCTTTTTCTGCCCAAGATTGCTACCCACAACCTGAATTGGATGCATCAAAAAATCCTAACGTGATTACTAAAGAAAACAATGATTTTTCTTTAGAGTGTCTCTCATTATGAAAGCAACTTTAAAAAAAAGCAACTTAATTTGTCTGTTACCCTAAATAGAATCAGCCTAAGGACCCAGGGGGATTATGGCATAGGATTCCTCTATCACCAGTTGGAAGCAAAGCTGTAACTGTAGGCTTTTCTCTACACTCCAGTGAAATGTCTCTAGTTAGCTCAATAATTTGGATGAGAAGAAAACAGGAATCGATTGTATGATCTGCCAGGAGTCATTAGTGAGCTTGTGCGGTGTATCAGTGAAAACTTGCATGCAGGGCTAGAGAAAGTGTGAAGGAGAACTGGATTTCGCGTTCTGCGCTACCCCGCCCAAAGCCTGTCACCAGGGTGCTCCCCTCTGGCTGAGCGTGTGTCTCGTCTGGCCAGGACATGCAGCCTTTCTGCAGCCTGACCTCCAAAGCCATACTCTCAGTCTGAAGCTCATTTGTTCTGAGATTTTTCACCAAAATTCTGATCTTCAGTCCACCGTGACTCAGTCTAATCCCCTCCCCGGCTGACAATGAGAGCACTTCCAGTGCATTCTTGACTTTGATGAGCTCTTGGTCCTCTTGGCTAGGGAAGAAGTTGGGCTCAGCGTGCCCGAGCAGTGGCTGTTTGCCCTCCATCTTTGATTCTTTGTCAGAATCATACTTGTCTACTATCTTGGAAACTGATCAGGAAATGGAGTGTATTAAATCACTAATGTAGATTTGAAAATAACTGAAAGCCCAAGGTTAAAAAAAAAGTCACTGTTCTTTATAGACAAAAGCCCAGAACAAAGAAGAATCCTGTGACTTCTCCAAATCCCAGGAATACAAGTCAAACCCCTCTCTCATGGGAGGTGATGAAATTCCCAGGACAGCTGCCAGAGGTGGTCCTCCACCTGTTGCTGCGAAACCCTCCTTCGGACGATCCATCCAGAAGCCCTCCATTCCTGTCCCTCCCCCTGAGAGTGAGGAGGTCGGGGAGAGCATCGAGGAGCCAGAGGACGCTCCCAAGTCAGTCCTGGGCAAAGTGAAAATATTTGAGAAGATGGATCATAAGGCAAGACTACAGAGGATGCAGGAGCTCCAGGAAGCGCAGGAAGCACAGGTAAAGGCCTTCAGAGCGCCAGAGGATCTCAGGGTGGGGACAGCAACAGTGTCACGTAGCTTGATGGCAGTGCAGCGGCGCGTGGTCCCTTTCCACTGGCGCAAGGCTGATAGGGAAGCAAATGTGCACAGTACTGTGTGTCACTTCCAGGGTGCTGGCCACCCTGGATGCACTTATAAAGCGCATCTTTTCTTCCGATCAAGAGAGAGTCTGCTCTCCGGCTGCTCCTACTGTTCTCAGGGCTTGGAATGGCGGAGTCAGATGATGAATTGGTGCTTTTCTGGATTAGTTTTACCTGGTGAGCTCATCCTGCTCATTTGGCCACTGAGTCTCACGTACTTCGCGTGCTGAGATGGAAAGGCCAGTGGAATATACACGTGCGCTGTGTGCATTTGTGTTCCATGCACACGTGCCACCTGTCAACACCAAGCAGAACTTAAAGGAGGCAGGGCATCGCGGCGCATGCCTGGAATCCCAGCTGTGCGGAAGCAGAGGCAGGAGGAGCCCTGGAGCCCAGGAATCTGAGGCCAGTCTGGGCAGCATAGTGAGACCCCTTTTTTGACCTAAAGGTTTATGGAGCATATTCTGCTGCCCAGAAGGCAGGGGTTGTCATCCTTTAAGTAGGTTGCAGTAGTACTTCTGAGCCTTTTTTCATATTTGTATTGTGATGAAATAAGCTTAATATAAATTTTGCTGTTTTTGAGTGCACAGCTCAGTGACATTGAATACAGTCACTCCGTTGCACAGCCCTCGCCACCATCCTTGTCCAGAGCTCTTGCATCCTGTCCAAAGCAAAGTTCTACCCCTCCTGCACCAGCGCCCTCATTCCCTCCTCCCTGCAGCCCTTGGCCTCTGCCATTGGCCTTGTGGAGCCTTGCGTGTGGCCAGCTAGGAGCCTTAGTAAGATAAGAGGAGCTGTACAGTATTGTTCCCCCTGTGCCGGCCTCACAGGTCATACATGCTGCAGCATTTATAAAGCCTGCATTTCCTTTAAACACTTCCTCTGTATGGCCCATACTGCTGGGCACCCTATACTACATGGAAACTAGAGTTGCGGATTTACCCTTTTCTCAAAATAGTGTAGGAAAGTAGGACAGCCAAAGAGACAGGCCAGCAGCGAGCCAGTGGGAAAATAAAGCAACTGCGCCTGTAGCTCATGCCTTTCTTCCTGTTCTTTTTACTAACACTACAGATTGAAATTGCTCAGAAACATCCTAGTCTCTATGCTGTTCCAATCAAAACCCCCAAGCCAGATGCCGGCCTGCCACCACACATAAGGTAAGGGCTCCCCAGCAGGGGAGTTGACGGAGAGGGCTTCTCTAGCACATGGCCTTGAGAAAAGCAGTTGCTTTGCCTAGACTTTAGAGCAGCAAGAGCATTTGTTTTCTTTTTGGTCAACTGTTTATCTTACCTATTCCATTGAATTTAATGGTAAAGGTGAAAGAGTTCCGTTCATGGTCATTATGTTTGTGTGCCTGGGGCCTGGTACCAGCACGACTGGAGCATGTTCTGCATTAGGGTAGCAAGAGGAAGTTCTAGGGTATACACCTGTTTTTGTCGCTGTTGTATGTGGCTCGTCACCAAGCAGAATCCAGCCGATTGTGCTGACCCTGGTCTGAAGGGACGCTGCCAAGCTCTTGGTGAGACCCTGTCTTAGTCATGTTTCTCGTTGCTTAGACAAAACACGCGACACTTGGAGTTAGAGGAAAGGGTTATTTCAGTGCAACTGGTACAGGTCTCAGCCCAGAGTCAGCTGCAAGGCGCAGTGGTGCAGCAGAGGATTGTCGGTGGAGAAATAGTCTGTGGCAAGCAGGGCAGACCAAAGGCAGCAAAACGGTGAAGCAGCAGCAGCAGCAGCAAGTAGTGGCTACAGGGCCCCGTCTGTCCCTTCCATCCTGAATCCACCCACCCCCGAGAGCCTGACCTGTGTCTGCATGAGGCTTTGGGGTGACAGCTGGTGACAAGCCACAGCTGTGAAGTGCCAAACAAGCAGTAGGAAGCAACCTCAGCGTCTTTTGTTGAAGTTTTACATTGGATTATTTTCTGCTTCTGAGAAAAGGAAAAGGATAAATAAATACTGTTTTTTACTATGACTGGAAACTAGTTTTGTTTTGTGGGAATAGAAAACCAGAAACAAAATTTTTCTTTACCAGTTGAAGCAGAACACAGTTGACTAGGTTGCCTGTGGCAGCAAAGAGGACTTGGTACAGTTGACACCAGCTGAAGGCTCCGTGGGCATCCCCAGGGAATGTAGGGGTGGGGACGGCCCCTCTGTCCAATTCTTAGCTTAGGGATCATCCGACTGGCTTCTCCACCCACAGCTCCAATAAGTCTTGCCTTTGAGCTGTTTCTTATCCCACCCCAACACTTGTGGACCAGAGTGGGACTCAGATTGGCCTGGTCACTCAGCACTGTGTGCCCAGAGGTCAGTGGTGGTTACCTGTGTCGCCTGCTTTCATACTCACCTGCATGGGCAGCTGGAGGATGTGACATCCTTGGGATGTGTGTAACGCCTTCCTTTGTTAGTTCCAGACTCCCCGAGCCACAGAAAGGCCCCTCCAGATTCGCTCCGAACGTGCAAGGAGGTTATGGAAGCGACGCAGAGGAGGAGGAGTACCGCCAGCAGCTGGCAGAACACTCGAAGCGCAGTTACTTTGGCCAGCCCTCCAGGTACCGCGACACTGAACTGTAGGATCTGGACATGGACTCTTCCAGGCCCCTCGGATGCTCCTGCGAGGGCATTGGGATCATTCTGTAGCAGACGTGCACTGCGTGTGGTGGACGCCAAAATCGGGTTCTCCTGGGGACCCCAGGTGCCAGCCAACGTATAAGAACTAAGACTGGGGCCAGGGATATAGCTCAGTTGTACAAGTACCTACCTGGCAAGTGCAAGGTCCTGAGTTCGATGCCCAGTACAAAAAAAAACCCACCTAAGACTGTTTGTGAAACCACGGTAGAGAAGTATATTATGGCTTTGTGCTCAGAATTGAGAAAAACACTGCAGTCCCAAGCTGTTACTTCAGTGAACCAAAATCTGTATTAATGTTGTTGGTGTGTTTTAATATGTATATTAAGCAATAACTCAAGGACAGCTTCAGTGTGAGGCTGAATGTGAAAAAAAAAGAAAATACACTGTTGAACTCAAACTAAATTTAAAGTATTTTGCTCTCTAAAGTGCCTTTGATAAGAACTGTCTTAAATTCTCCTTTAAAGCTTTATGCAAAGCCATAATGGACTAAAACTTTATCTTGGCTACATTTTTTATACCAGTTTAGCAGCTGTGGTTTTCCTCTGCACTGTGTCATCTTTTCAGTGTTCATCTTTGTAATATTTTCTATAAATTCTGATTGTACATATAATAGCTATACTTGGTAATTTGGCTGTCAAATGCCAAATAGCTTGAAGGCTAACAAGTTGGGATGGACCTTACTTGTTTAGAATCATGTACTGCACAAAAGACAGTTGATAAGAACATTTTATTTCCACGAGTTTGTGTATCGATGGCCGTCATTTTTATAATTTAATAAAAAGAAAGAATACATTGTGATCAATAACTTGCTCTGTGGTGAATTTCTGCACACACATAGCCCGGGTGTCAAGATAGATAAGCGCTGTACTGGTGAGCTCTGCCCTCAGCCTTCCTGTTTTTAAGTGCAACGTTTATTTCAATTACTGATCATACAAATGAAAACTTGTTCATTGTTGAACACTGGAAAATAGAACCTAAATGAGTAACAAAATAAAGACTGCTTATCATCCTGCGTTTGGATTGTTTGTATCCATTTCCTCCAGGTGTGTATTTGTATCTTATCTGGTACTTGAGATCAGACCATATTTGCAGTTGTTTCATATTTTTTCTAATGTTTTGTCAAGAATACTGCCCTCAGATACTTAGATTGCCATGTGCATGTCATCGCTAATGACTGCACAGTGATGCATTGTGGGATTGCTGTTTGCGCCAGTAGTCCCTCTGTTGTTGGCTGTTCGGATCTTTTTCATTTCCTGCCTCTCTACAGGATGTGAGCCTCTTCATATTCAATCCCCGTTTTGTGTATTAGTGATCAGTGTTTCGGTCCTTTTCTGCAGATGAGACCTCAGACGTGTAATTACTAAAAGTGTGTGAACCTTTGTAATGCTCTGGATGATGTTTTTTGCCAAATTGCTGTCTAGAAAATTCACATCAGTTCTTACTCCCACATTCACTTTTGAAAGTTTGGTATAGTTTAAAGCTTAAGCAAGATAATTAAAATTTAAGCTTATGTGAATCGAAAGTAGACAATTTGAGAAAGGAAGAGAGTTCCCTTTAGGGTCTCTTGCAGTCTAAATGGTCGCAAAGGTGTTGAGCTTGCACGTCACCAGGTAGAAATTTGGTTTACGATGAGTTAGTACGCTAGTGTGTAGGATGTCCTAGGTTGTGCCGCTGTCAGTGTGGCTGCTATAACTCCTAACCTTTCCAGTGCTTCGTCTTGCATTTCTGAGCAGTACTCCAGTCACTAGAAGTTGTATATCTCATAAATAAAAAACCATCATCCAAATACGTGATGACGTGGTTTGCTTATGTCCTTTACATGCAGGACCGAGCCCTTTTGCAAGTCCAGGGAGGCACAGGGAGCTAGGCTGTTACCCGGCTGCAGCAATTACGTGATGCATTCAAGGGTGCAGACAGGCAGGGCCTCTGTCCCCCAGAATGCCCCGAGTGCACCCAGTGACCACCGTGCCTTTCCTGTCCATTTTTCTGTGTTGCTTTGTTCTGGAAAGGGTTGAAAATTGCTTACAGTACGTAGGCGTAAGAGGCATATTCGCAGAGGTGATCCTGGAGGGCTGTCTCTTAAGCTCTGTTCTTTCGTAACACTGTTCCAAAGTCAACTCAGTAAAAGCTTGAGGAAGGGCCAGAAGCAGCAGTGTAGAGGCCCCACGCAGCAGTCTGGCTTTACGTCAAGATCCCCTCTGGAGTGCCTAGGGCCAGTAGCTCTAGGGTAGGAATGTGACATGCCTGGTGTCCCAGGATAACTAAGTATGTTAATCATCTTTCAACAAAATCCATTTTATCCACAAGCTGGTGGAGGGGTGTTTTACTTTCACAGGGTAGGGCAAATCTCACACATATTTGTAGGAATAAAATGAGTAAGTTCAAGTTTCGCACGTCAGCAGGTATTGGAGCATATATGGTTGTTGTGGAGGTTCCTATGTCCAAGATTTTCAGGGGGCCAGCAGGCAGGAGAGCCTGGGAGGACCGACAGGCTGAGCCCAAAGGCTGGCCACTGGCAGGATGCCACTAGCTTGGGGTGGGGTGGGGCAGGCTGTCCTAGTCAAGCCTCCAAATGTTTGGCTGTCACATGTCTGAGGACAGCCTGTTTACTCAGAGTTCACCACTTTAAATTGTTAATCTCATTGAAAACAAAACACCTTCCCAGAAACATCCTGAATAAAGTTTGACCAAATATTGGTTGCAGTAGCTCAGCCAAGTTGACACAGAATTAACCAGCCATCCCCTTTCCCATGGGGGCCACCTGGGCAGCTGTTTTTGTCCAGTGTTAAAGCATAAATAAACATGAATGAAAAGGGAGAATGATTTATGTAATTGAAATACATGTTCATGTATGTAGATTTAATACACACTATTTACCCTACATTTGCATAGAATGCATGTTTTTATATGCAGTAAGGGTTGTCAGTAGGAAAGTCTTATAAGTCAGTAGGTAAAAATGAATGAGATTCAGATAAATTCAAACCACATTAAAAATAAAAGTTGACAGTTTAAAATAATACTTAGTAAAATCCCTGGTGATGCACATCTATAAAATGAGATTTAGAAAGGGCCAGGGAGATAGCTCAGTAGAATGAGTACCTGTCTGGCAAGCACAGGGTCCTGGGTTCAGTCTCTGGTACCACAAAAAAAAAACAACTAAAACTAAAAAGCTGAGTAGTGGCATTGTGCACACATACATGTTTGTATGAACAGAGAGCTAGAACAGATCTTATTTTCAGCTTCCCTTTAAGCCCCACTTGTGTGTGGTCAGTGGTAGCTTAGTGTCCTTGGGGGGCTGTTTCTAGGACCTCCCTTAGATACTAAAATCTGCAGATGCTCTACTCCCATAGATAAAGTGTCAGTAATAATTACATATAGCCCATATATGTCTTACAATATATACTTAAATCATCTCTACGTTACTTATAATGCCTATAAATACACTACAAATGCTGAGGAAATAGTTGTGTTTATGTCGTAATCCATAAAAATAAGTTTGGAAATATTCAGTGCAGATACAATTTGTTTTGCTTTTTTAGGTTTTTTCCGCCCTTGGCGGAATATGCAGATGAGCCCACAGAGATGGAGCATTGACTATATGCACAGATGTAAAATTAGCACAATGACCACAAGTGACAGTACTTTAGTATCTATTTGGTGCCCTCTTTAGTGTGAGTGAGCTACAGTCTTGTGGCTTCTGCACCATCTGCAGGTGCTGTTCTACCCGCTGGAGGCCAGAGGCCAGGTTCCTCCATCCTTCCCGAGTTGGAGTCTCCAGGACGTGTGGCTGAGAAGGAATATCCTAGCTGAAGTAAGTGTTCCTCGGAGGGGCGGGGTGCATTGAGTTCTGAAAGTAGATCTTTCTCAAAAGATAAAGGGAGAGGAGACTTCTGGGAAAATGGAGCAACAACTGAGCCTCTCTGACATTCACAGTCTCGGCCCTGGAAAACAACTGGTGGGGGTGGGGGCAGGAGAGGGAGTAGATCCTTGGGAACCAGGAATGACCTGACAGGAAAATTAAGTTTCTCTTCAGAGAAACTAAAGAGACTGAACACATGCAGAAAAGGGAGGGACAGCCTCACTTTCTCCCTGGCTCCCAGCTTGTGACAAAGGAGGTTGAATCTACAGAGATAAAGTGAAAGCAGCGGGCTGTACAGGGCTTACAGGAGAAATACAGTGGTGGAATGGCCTGGCAGATGCTGACTTGAGAGAGGTGGTGAGCGGCAGCAGTCCAAGTGCCTGCCACATTCCCTGGATGGGGTGCCGGGCCAGACACCATTCCAGAGAGGACTTAGTTGGTTAAACCTGGGTCTCAGAGCAGCAGCAGATTGGATTCCTTGCAGGGCTCCCAGTGTTACAGGGCCACAGTAACTGGGTGAGAAAAAGCCATGTGGGGAGGCTTGGTCAGCCAGCCATGGTGAGGCTGGCAAGAGACCCCTGGGAGGCAAAGGACACCAGTCCCAATGCCCAGCCAGAGGCCAACTGCTCTGGCCCCTGCCCTAATCCTATCACCTGCTGGTGGCTGCATCTAGCATGGCCTTAAGAGTGACTGCCTTCTTTTGTCTACTAGGGGGAGCAGGTACATGACTTGATACTGCCCCCAAATTGTAGAGTGCACAAGAAAACCATGTTTGAAATCACAGAAGTTTGGTTTTTGTTTTATCGTTTCCATTCATTCATTCATTCATTCATTCTGAGTGTCTCAGTTACTTTTTCCTCATTGCTGGGAGTCAATACCCAACACTCAAAATGAAGCAAGGAAAGGTTTATTTAGCTCATAGTTGGTGGAGTTTTCCATCTATACTACGCTGGCTCCAGGGCAGAGTGGCACGTGGTATAGGGCAGCTGTTCATGGGCAGAAGACAGCAAAGAGCCAAGGGAGGAGAGCAGCAGACGTGGCTGCTAGCAAGCCCCTCTCCCTTCCTTACATTTGTGTGCAGATTATGTGCCTGAGGGCAGGTGCAGCACTCACACCTGCAATCCCAGCATTGGACCATGAATTAATCATAAACTCTAGAAACTGCTCCATGACTGTGAGAGTCTTTGGGGGGACACCTAGACACAAACCATAACACCAAGTGTGCATTGTTTCTCACTGGCTTGCTCACTCACTCTCACACACCACCTTTCTTCCTCAGTAGTGTGTTGGTGTTGGGAAAAGTTCCTTTCTTATATCCATCTTATCTCCATTTCTTACTCGTTGCTTGCTTGTTTTCTCTTCTTTTTGGTTTTCTCCCTTTTTTCCTCTTAATTTACTCTCTATATTTTTTATTTTTTCTTTAAGAAAACAAAAATTTTATTTATTTATTTATTTATTTATTTTTTGCGGAACCGGGGATTGAACTCAGGCCCTTGCGCTTGCCAGGGAAGTGCTTATTCTACTGAGCCATCTCCCCGGCCCCCAAAGTTTTAATAAATGAGACATTAGAAACAATACATAATTTCAAGAAAAAGATGATAGTTATTCGATAATGGTTGTTATATTGCAGTGTTGTTTTCAATGTAGTTGCCCACATACCAGATACAAGTATGTAAAAATGGTCAAAGTACAAATTTTAAGCATTACTGCTATCTTCAAAAGAAAAATAGGAAATAGGACAATCATCTTAGCTACCCTGTGCATATACATACATGATCCCCTCCTTTTTTCCTTTCTTTTCTCCTTTCCCTCATCCCAATTATTTACTCCTTTTGTGCAGTTTCTTTCCCTTTTTCTAATCTCTTGTACCTTTCAGATTTAATTTCCTCTTTCAGGTTCTTACACTAGGGAGACAATATGATGTTGACACATGTGGGTCTGAT